AACTCCACTCTGCACGACCACTGCAACACCACCAGAAGGGGTGGAAGAGGGGCGATCTTTTCTAAAAACCTGATGACGTCTTAAAATTTTATAAGAATTAGTGTGAAGATGGGTTCCTTGCAAGGCGAGAGCGATGGGCCGAAGCTGATCCATGAAATAGTTCACATCATCAATATTTCTTAAAATACCGCGACAGTTCCCTTGCATAAACTGTAACTTAGTCATTTATAAAAGGTATGTAAATATACAACTGAAAAATAAACCTAGTAAAATAAGTAAGACTGTAGAGTCAACAGAAACTAGGTGGAAGGCATTGGGATCATCATTTGGGTTGGACTACAGGCTTTTTATTCTTTTTATGTTTACTGGAGGGCGTTTCCCACTCCATATTGTCCTGGTCGGACCCAGGAGTGGACAGGTTGTCAGCATCTGTCGACATCTCCACCTCCTGAGAGGTATCCGTTGTTTTTAGAACAGCCCTTGTCCGGCCAGGTGTGCGGGGGGGGGGGGGGGGGGGGGGGGGGGGTCGTAATCGGGGGTCAAACCCCGATTACGACCGGCTGGGGGGGTTGCAGACGACCTGGGCGACGGGTCGTCTGAGCTCGTCTGGTCCCCTCCTTTCCCAGGAGCTGCATGGGCACCATGCTGTTCCTTCGGTAGGGGGGGCCCTCTCTAGCGAGGAAGAGCGAGAAGCTCGCTCCGTCTCCCCAGGGGGCGACCTAGGAGAGCGGGCAGGCGCGGCTGCTGCCGGCCTGTCCCTGGAAGGAGGAGCAGCACGCGTGCTACCACCAGGGATTGGAGGAAGCAGCCGCTGCTCCTGCCGGGGAGCTGGGGCCCTGCAGTCGGCCGCCAAGATCTCGGGAGAGACCTGGGTGGCCCTTGACTCCGAGCGTGGTGCAAGGCCCCTGCGCACCACCTCGGCAAAACTCCCCTTTGACAAAAAGGAGAACCGCTTCTTGGCTTCTGGGTATGGTATGTTTTCCTTTACTTTGATGGTAAGAATGTCCTTTCTAGCTTCCAAGAGGGACATGCACGATAATAAGCAGGATGTGGTCCACCGCAATTAGCGCAGAGGGCCACAGCCGCCTCGGAAGTATCGGAAACGTGAACTTGACTACCGCACTTCGCACACGTCTCTTTCCCTCGACAGCTGCGTGTTCCAAGACCAAAACGCTAACAACGGAAGCACCGCTGGGGGTTGGGGACGTACGGGCGGATGCGGCAGTTCAAGTAACCTTCCTTGACTGTCTCGGGGAGAGTGTGCCTTTCAAAAGTCAGGATAACATGTCTCGAAGAGATTTGTTCCCCATCTTTCCTACACATAATCCGTTTTACGGCGACGACACCGGCACCCTGGAGTCCCTCGAGGAGTTCTTCCTCACTAGTGTGCAAGAAGTCGTCCTCAGAGAGGACTCCACGGACAGTATCTAGTGTGCGATGAGGGCGTGCACCGACACCGTAACGTCAACGATGTTGTTCAGTTTAAGGAGTGCGTCCCTCACTTTGTTTTTTGTATTCACTTCCACGAGAAGGTCTCTAGTGTGCTGTTTTTTAGCCTTGTAGAAAAACCCTACAAGCTTTTCTAGCACCTTTGCAACAATAAAAGGTAACAGCTTTGAAACAGGTTTTTGTTCATCCAGCGAATGAACGATGAAAAACTTAGTAAATGTTTCTACTTCACATTCTTTGTCGATGGTTTTTTGTTCGGGGCAGCGCCGTTTAAGGGCGTGCCCTGAACGGGGCTCGGAGGGGTGGGGCGCCATAAGAGGGCGAAGAGTGTTCCGAATCCGCGGTGCACCGCCCACCACCGAGCCCGACAAGAGGTTAGGTAAAGCACCATAACAAGAAGGGCTTGGCTGGAGACGCTACACTAACAGTGCTGCCTGGAAACTATACCCAAGTGTCGGTCAAGACAGAGGTCCATTGCCACCCAAGGTTAGCCCTTGCCGCCAAAGAGGGGTAAAAAAGTGAAAGCCGTTTACAACTCCCTGTAACACCGAATTAGAGCGCAGCTCTTGAGGAGGAGGAGGGAAGGGTAGTGGGGTGGGGGGGGTGAAGTGACCTTGGGGGGTCACGAGACCTTGGGGGGTCACGTGACGATGCCGATGATGTCATCAGTGACGTCACTGATGACGTCATCAGTGACGATGACGATGAGGACTCTGATGACGTCATCAGCGATGATGACGATGACGATGCGGATGTCAGTGACGTCATCAGTGACGTCACTGATGACGTCATCCGTGATGATGACGATAACGATGCGGATGCCGGTGATGTCATCAGTGACGTCACTGATGACGTCATCATTGATGATGACGATGACGATGCGGATGCCGGTGAGGTCATCGGTGACGTCACTGATGACGTTATCAGTGATGATGATGATGACGATGCGGATGACGGTGACGTCATCAGTGACGATGACGTCATCGGGGAGGTCACGTGACCTCGGCGGGGGGTCACGTGACCCTGGGGGGTGGTCACGTGACCTCGGAGTGTGTCACGTGACTTTCGGTGTCACACGACCTTGGGGGTCACGTGACCTTGGGGTGACCTCGGGGGTCACGTGACCTTGGGATGGCCTTGGGGGTCGCGTGACCTTGGGGTGACCTTGGTTACGCCGACGGCGACGCCGACGCCGCTCAAGCCGGGGAACGGGCCCCTAAGAGCTGCGCTCTAAAAGGAGCAAAAGAATTGAGAAGGAAGTGAAAGAAAGAGGAAAGGTAAAAGCGAAAGATCGGAGGGGATAGTAGAAGAAAAGGCGACTAGACTGCATCATCCTGGCCGGGCCTTACCAGGACTCCCGTCTACGAGAAGCGGGGGCCGAAGTGGTGTATTGCCTCACCCGGGGGGCCCCGAAGGGTCCAAACCTGCCCCAGGCTCGGCTCAACCTCCAGGATGCCCTTCTCCCCGGACACGGGAAAGCCACGCACAGCCAGACGTGGGCGGACAAACCCGCATGGCTCGGGGTCCGTGGAGACGCCACTCTCCAAACACCTGCTTTCACAGGTGCGCCCCTGCGGGGTGGTACATACAGGGACGACGCATCTCAGCATCTACAACACCCAGCACACAAATCACCCTCGAGGCACAGCTCGAGCGCCGCATTGCTCAACTTGAACAACGCGTAATGGAGCACGTGCAAAAGACAATAGACCGGGCCATTGAGACATGTGTCCGCACCCTTATGGAACGACTCATGCTCTCCAGTACGAGCCCATTCGGGGCGCCCATCACACAACCGGCTCCGGCCGCCTCTATGGTAACCTCATCAATTGCTATTAGCGGCCAACATGGCCCAGCGCTCCAATAGCGCACTCGCCACCGGGCACCCACCCTGGGCTACAGTCGTGCAATGGAATCGTCGAACACTTCGAAAAAAAAAGGCCGACCTAGTAGCACAATTTCATTGTAACGGCACCACACAAGGACCATCCATACTCGCACTTCAAGAAGTAAATGGCCCAGTACTCAAACTCCCGGGTTACGAAGGGTACCCGTCTTGTAGCGATCCCGGGCAGACCACATCCGTGGCTCTATACGTATTAAGAACGCTCGACCACGTCCAACTGGATACCGAACCCTGGAATACTAGCGCCACCACTACGGTAGGGTGTAGGGTCAAATTGACGACTGATCACACTGTTTTAATTTTTTCCTTGTACGCACGCCCGGAGTACAACCGCAACAAAGGTCACAAGCCTCTTATTGACCTCGGTTTTATACAGCATTTCCATAGGCTCTATCCTCGCGATCAGGTAATCCTATGTGGAGACTTCAACGCAAGGCACACAGCATGGGGTTACGACAAATGCAGTCCTAGGGGGCGCAAAGTAATGGCTGATACCCAAAACTACCACCTTAGTTTGATCAACACCCCCGATGACCCCACACGGATTGGACAATCTATTCGCCAGGCGGACACGACCCCTGATCTCACTTGGGCATCACACCCGCGCAGCGTCACCTGGCACCTTCACGAAGATCTAATGGGAAGCGATCATTTCCCTATAGTGATAAAGATAAAAATCCGTCGCACTCTGGGATGCGCGGAAGGTGCACGCACAGCCACGAGACCATCGTTTTTGACGCACTGGGACAAATACCGAAAGCTGCTGGAGGAGACATCTCCCAGCGGCGATATCGCACACCTAACTGGTCAAATATTAGACGCCAAGCAACAAGCCACCCGTCGAATACAAGTCCCCTATGATCATCCGGACCCAGACAAACGCCTTCTAACGCTCTGGAATCGCAGGTTGCGCCTATTGGGCAAGTACCGCAAATCTGGGCGCAGACGCTCTATCAAACGCAAGTTGAGGATCACGCAACAGACAATAGAGGACTACACCACCGCCCTTGCATCTGAGAGATGGATGACCCTCTGTGAAGGCTTTAACGGGAATACGTCTACACCCCGAGTTTGGAGTATACTACGGTCCCTTCTTGGACAAACCAAGACCTACAATGGGGCCAGACGGGTGGCCCTTAAAGAAGCGATAACCCCACAGGAGCTAGCCGAACGCGCCGCTTCTGAATTCTTTCCCAGCACTTCTCAACCCATCGCTACCACCTATGAAAGGGACGACCCTGTGGAGGACTTTGAATCCTACAATCAACCATTCACCCTTTTTTAGCTTAATCACGCTCTTAACACTGCCAACACACACAGTGCACCTGGGGCAGATCAAGTCACCACGACACAACTGAGAAACCTCCCAGATACCTACAAACAAGCTCTGTTGGAGGAAATCAACAGGATCTGGGAAGAAGGAAAGCTTCCACCCACATGGCGTTTCTCTCTGGTGAAACCAATTCCCAAACCGGGGAAACCGCCACATAACCTGGCCAACCTCCGACCTATATCGCTGACATCCTGCCTATGTAAAACGATGGAGAGGATGGTCAATACGCGCCTTACATGGTACTTGGAAAATAATGGCATTCTCGCCCCAACGCAAATAGGGTTCAGAGCGGGGTTGTCCACACAGGACGCGCTTCTTCAACTTAAGGAGGCAGTCCTCGACCCGCACTCTACACAACCGAGAGCTGTCGTTGGGGTTGACATTAAAAAGGCATTTGACGGGGTCCCGCACAACACAATCATGTCCCAAACCAGAACTGCCGGCCTAAAAGGACGACTATATAACTTCATTGCCGCGTTTTTGGAAGGTCGCTGTTTTCAAGTGCAGGTAGACCAAGCCACTAGTGCCACGCGAGCCAACAAAGTAGGGGTACCGCAGGGGTCAGTTATCTCACCGACTCTCTTCAACTTGGCGATGCACACCCTCCCACACCGTCTTGATGCAGTGCCTGGACTAGGTCATACAATATATGCCGATGACATCACGCTTTGGGCAACAGACGGCTCCATCGGCCAGCAGGAAGACATACTCCAAAATTCCCTAAACATTATCTACAGTTTTGCATCCGAAATTGGCCTCAGCACATCCCCAGAGAAGACTGAATACTTAGTCATACACGGCGGCCGTAGTACTCCCTCCAAGAGAGCCGAGAAGAACATGTACAACCTCTCTATCGGAGATCAACCCATCACCAGGAAATCTGCCATTCGCATCCTGGGCATGTACCTGGATGAAAATTGCACAGCCAACACATGGTTCCAGAAAACGACTGGATCAGTAAAAAAGATCCTACACGTCCTTCGACGAATCTCAACACGCACCCGTGGTGTCCACGAACGCGAGATGAGGCGATTCGTGCAGGCATTTGTCGTCTCACGGCTCCTGTATGGTCTTCCCTATCATCCAGTCAATCGGACTCAGATGCTAGCTCTAGAAAGACTTATCAACGAGGCCCGAAGACTGATTACTGGCCTTCCCAGGTACACACGCCTAGACGCGCTCAAGAGTTGCGGGGGCATTAATGATCTCAGCGAACTCGTATCCGCGCACTACAACATCCAGGAGGCACGGCTTCGCACAACACCAGCCGGCCGGTCTATCCTTGCAAAACTAGGCTACGCCGTGCACGATCTGCCCGAACTCCCACAACAGACCCCGCCGTGGGAACACACTATCCTTACCGACGGGACTCCTCTACCTCAGCGGATACAGAGCACCGGCAGGCGCCTCCCTCTCAAGAGACGGCACTTAAAGTACATTCGCTCGCTTGACGATTGCACCCCCGTGATCTACGTCGATGCATCCCTGCCAGCTGATCACAAATGCGCTGTCTACGCCACGGCGTGGTACGATTGTAACACAGAAGCACAGGCACGATACCTGCACACAACGGCTACGCCCCCGCTCAGCACCCAAGCTGAGCTTCAAGCCATCACGGACTATGCGCGCGACGCACTTCTTACGGCAAAGGAAGACGCACCAGTCACGCACATCATTTATACTGACTCGCAAGCGGCACACCACATATGCTCGGACACCAAATATACCGGACCTACCTTACACGAGCTCAAGGTGGCCGTCTCATCTCTGAGAGCGTCCGGCCATCAATTCATCATACGATGGGTCCCTGCCTACTGTGGCATACCCGGTAATGAGAAAGCCCACAGACTAGCGCGCGCACACCTCCTCTCCGCGCTGGCCAAGGGACCCTCCTCTTCCTCATCTCTAGGTAACCCCTCACAGGAAATTGCCAACCCTTGGCACGACTTGCGCTCTACCAAAGCCCAGCGAGCCACCTACCTCTCCATGGCCGCTAACCCGCTATCCATCCCTAAGATTCCCTCCCAACATTTCTCTCGTAGGGAAGCCGTCATGATTCGGCAAATTCAGACAGGGACCCTACTGACACCGCATCTCTTACAGCGGTTTCGCGGGAACGACGGGGCGGGACCTTCCACAGCCTCTGGCATCTGCAAGAACTGCAATTCTAAGGCAGACCTGGTCCATCTCATGTGGTCTTGCCCTTTGTATAATATTCCACGACAACAGGCTTTGGACCTCATCACAAACGCCCCAGTACCCGCATCCCTGAACGCCTGGGCATGTCCAGACACCACCATATCCCCTAAGCAGGCTCTGGAGCTCTGGGAGGCACTACTCACCTTCATAAAAGACCCAACTGCGCCTCCAGTGGGGGACCGGCTTTTTCCGGCTACAGCCAAGAGGATACGGCCTCCCCCTCCCTCGTCGACGAAGGCCTTGAAGCCATGAAGTGTTGCCCTCCTCCTCCTCTCCTCTTCTTTGGCCCCCGCTTCCTAATCCCTTATCCTCCTTCTAACTGACCTCCGCAGCGCGCTCCGCGCAATATAAGGTCAATAAACGTGTTTTCAATCAGTCAGGGACGACGACACTCTGCGCTTAGGACCCGGTGACGTCGCGAGACGACTGCGCGTCAAGAAGGGCATGGCAGGCCGGAGGATGGAACCGCAGTATGTGTGCGTCCACAGGTTTCCAAAGTCAACGGCCGAAGCCTCCGAGGGTGTCCCAAGCATGCACCAGCAACATCGGGAGGATGTATGGGCACTGCTATCTTGGAAGCACTTTCCAAGATTAAAAGAAAATGAACAGAGTTGGCAAAAACTTGAGTCTTAAGGCCCGTTCACACTCTTGCAACCGAGTACGACCGAGAGGGACGAGATCTGTTAAAACTTCTTAAAGGGATACTGAACCGATATCTGAACTTTTCAAAATAAGCCCCGGACGAGCTGCCCGGGACGTTACTATACCTAAAAATCAAGAACATACCAAGGGATGGTGATCGGATTATTATATTTCTTTGATTGAAGAGCCGCGTTCGAGCAATCCGTCGGCCGGAAGCCGCCGGTGCGATTGACGCCACCGCGGAGGAGCCCTAGCGGAACTGACGTCACAGACCTCTCGCTCCTTGGCAGACTCGGTTGTCCCGCTGCAGTCCTAATGGAGAACCGCGCCGAGTGTTCCTCATTCTGATCCAGTTTCTTCAATAGTTATGCCGCGGTACTGCGCTGCACAAGACTGCTCGAACAGCGTATGTTACAGCGGCAGGCCTGCGCACAAGTTTCCGAGTGAGCCCACGTTGCGCAAGCTGTGGATTCGCGCGGCCCGTCCTTCCCAGCCAACATGGAAGCCCGCCAAAGGCGATTGTCTTTGCACGGAGCACTTCGAAGACGAGGACTACAAGACGAGCCCGAAGTTACTGCAAAGTCTGGGCTTGCCTGTAAAACAGGCCTATTTGAAGCCTGGCGTGGTGCCATCGCTCTTCACGCGAAAACGCAAGCGAGAGCGGCACAGCGGCGCCGTGGAAAAACGGCGACGGAAAGAGGTGAGCGCAGCTACTGAAATATTTTTCTGCTTGTTTCTGAGAGGAAAGCACGAATGCGAGTGGTCGTGAGATTAGCGTAGTACATTGCGCGACGCTGTTAGCGCAAGCCTGCTAACTCGCCTTTGAGGACGAGCGCGGAGAAACGCCGAGATCGCGTTTTCGCTAGCAGCGTCGCGCAGGGTAAGTGTGTACTATATCCGTGTTCGCTATCGTGCCCTTAGCCGGACGAAAGGTTGCCGCCAATCGCAGGTGCTCCACTGTCGGTATCGTGTACATGGCGAGACTGCAGCTATACTCTGTTTCACCTTATGATGTACCGCAGAAAAGGCTACAAGCTCGAGCTTGTAGCCTTTCCTGCGAGCTCACAGCGTAGGCAGCTGCCTACGCTGTGAGCTCGCGATTCTTGCCTTCGTTGCGGTACAACATAAGGTGAAACGGAGTATAGTAGCTGCGGCGATGGCACTCGGTTTTCGGGCTCATGTGCTAGAAACTTGCTTTGAAGCTACGAGCTTGCGCCGGCACCTTTCGCTCAGTTGTGAAGGCTGGTATTTATCTTTATTACTACTGATAAATGCCAGCTAATTTTAATTTGAGAAATTTGGCATAAACCAATAAATATCGAATTTTGATTTGGGCTACCTGAAAATGGCACATAGGACCGAGCTGAACCATTCCTGGGAGAATGTGGTTAATTGATGATCTACGTACTTCCTTTTGGTTTGCAGCGGGTATATTCCGAGCTTGAGCAGGATGTGCAAACTCCGCGGCATCTTGAGCATGTGCTATTCTTTATTGTGGCGCATAAGGAGATGCTGTTGAATTTCGGAATAGGGTACTCACAGTATGAGTGCCACGCCATTTAGAAAAGTGTGCCTGTATACATCATTCTGTTTTGGAAAACTCATTTGCCTCTCTGGTCTGCTCTCCCTGATGAGGTGGTCAAGCTGCTGTCGCTTCATCTGTTCAGTGTTAACCTGGAAGGCAGTTTCTCTCAACTGCGGAAAATAAATGAAAAAGAGCGCTGCAGTTTTTTTAATGAGAACCTTGTTATGGTACATATTTCCACCGCTTGTTCATATTTCTGATTACTATGACGATATCTTAGTTATAGACCAACACGCGGCCCTGACGTCACGCAGCTGCGGTGGCACTCTTGACGGCACTGCGCAGGCGCAGAGGCTTCACTTCACGTGAATTCGGTTTCTGCGTTCGCACAGTCCCCACACCTGGTGTGGGCAAATGCAGGCTTTTTTGTAAACAGTGTGCCGGTTTATAAGATCTTGTTTCGTCTATGTTCTTCCCATACATTGAATACATGCTCGCAGTAATGCTTCACGTCGACAAGTGCCGAGAATGCCTAAAAACCTGGTGGCGTATGGAATTAAATTGCAGCAAAAATCAATTCTAGTGCCAAAAATAGATGCTGCTAAACGCGTGCCAATTTAGAACAAAAATAAACACTGCGAAATCTTTTGCTGAGTTACTCTGTCTTAATCTCGTGGAATGTGGTGTTTATTTATAAAGTTCACTAAGAACACCAGCTGGCCATTTATGACAATTGCACCCCAATCAAGAGGCTATTACAAGTGTTGTTCAATTTCTCGACTCGAGGCAAGGCCACTAATTAACCTCGGTCGTCATTCGACCGTTTCATCTTAGTGTTTATGACTGTGCACTTGACGGTGTGATTTGCTTACCAGTTCAAGCAAAGTCAAGATGAGGAGGGTACACAGAGTGACATGAGCCTAACGAAGATAAGGGCTTGGGCCAGTCACCCTCATTTGAGCAGAACCTGGGTGTTAGCAGCATATTGACAGTGTGTTTGTTTGCATGTTGTAAGTTTTTATGCCTATCATTTATAGATAATTGCTGAATTGCTGGAGGCACCGGCACAAGCAAAGGCCACACTCATCGCTGAAGAAGTCAGCACATCGTCAACCCCTTCTGGTGACGACACTGAGCAAGGTCCTGACTCTGGACATGAACCAATGCATGATGCAAATGCTGGCATCGAAGAACCTTGTTCGAGCTCAGGTATGTGCGCCAATTGAAACTACTCGGCTGACATAATTTAGTACTGAATTCTGCCAAATTAGGGTAATCTAGTCTATTGCTGATTACATGAGCCAAGGATGATTTTGTTTTGAAAGACACTTTATTTCCTCTGCTGTGAACAGCCCCCTCCATCAGTAATGCCAAACAGGCTCAACCTGACCTTCGGAACGCTGCTACGCAGACCTCGGGCATCTACAGAAATCGAGGTATGTATCTGCAAGAAGAAATTTCACAGAAGGCAGCATTGTTCAGATCGTTGTAACACGTTATGATGGCACAGGCATACAAGTCACCTAGAAGACTTCATCACGAAAGTCCCAAACGAATCCTGTCCTCGTGACACCACGATGCTCCTCACCAAATCATGTCCCCCAGGCTCCATTGGATTGGATGTTGCCTGAAGGGCTGACTCTGTCGCCGCAGCCGCCAGTGCACAGACAACCAGCTCCACCACCGGACCCACCACAGCTGCCAACAATAAACAATGAGCTGCCCAGTGCAGGCCAGGAAGAGTCTGTTGAAGGGTGTCCCACAGAGCTGCCAGAGCCACACGTGGAAGCAGACAGCCTATACCTCCCCTCTGACGCTAGCTTCCTCATGATGATGTCCGACACCGGCTTTCTGAGGTTGGTATCAGTCGGATATATGTCATCTTTAGTAACGAGTATGAGAGGGTGTGTAAGAGGTTGCTTTTTTCTTTTCTTTTTTTATTCCAGGGATGCACAGCAGAACACTGCATCTGACAACGCACTCAGTCAGCATGAGAGCAGCAAAAGCATCGACTACGTCTCGGAACGAAAGTTTATTGTTTTCGAGTCTTGTTTGGACGAGCTACTAGGTAATTGTCCCGAGTGCACTGCACTGTGCCGCATCACAGAGAAGAAGATCAGAGGGACATGTCTCCGGATGCACAGAATGTGCAACAATGGCCACCAACACACCTGGACCAGCCAACCATCAGTGAATAGGAGGGCCCTGGGCGATGTGCTCCTAGCTGCAGCAACGCTCTTCTCTGGGAGCATCGTCAAAAAAGTGCTAAGGCTCGATCCTCCACCAGATGGGCGTGCCCTGTTTATCGTACGAGACATACTTTAAGATTCAGGGTGCCTTCCTTCTACCAGCGACCAGACAGGTATGGCACGTTTTCAAGCTTTTCCTTTCCTGTGAAAGAGGTTTATTTTAGGTGCCAATATTTCAGGCTCAGCACTCCTATGGGATCCTGAATGGTGTAGTACATGCGTAGGAAGCACCATATGTTTCTGTGTACAAGTCACACACTCCTATAAACGGCTGTTTTTACAAAAAGCTTGATATATACATGTTTGCAAGTGCGTCTTCAGGGTGCCTCCATCTTGCCGAGTTGGGGTGTGCTTGGGCGCGGCCATACTCTGATTACGACACCTTAGTGAGGCATCGTAATCGAATTTAATGCGCCCAAGTGCACTCCAACTGGGCAAGGTGGCGGCGCCCCGAGGCCGTACTTGCAAACGTCTATAGGTGGCACATCTTTATACGGGCCGCAAGGCAAAACTGCATTGATAAGCTGTCATACGTATATTGTAATATAAGCACAAGTAAGAGCCAGCTTCAATGTTCTTGCGAACTACCGTGGGAAATTTGTTCTGATATGGCCGGCTGTAAGCTCTGCTGGAAGCCGGCATATTGCCAAGGTTCCGATTGTAAGGAAAAGCTGATCCGCCGACCCGAAGGCCACATCTAATGGACCTAGGTCTGTACGATTCAATACACTGCAGCACCCGAGGCTACATCTAATGGATCTATAGTCGGTTACAGGTTAAGAAAAAAGCTGGAGCTCCGCCCGCAAGCGTAAAGCGCCGCTTGAAATGCCTACGCCGTCAAAGAAAATAGCTCCCTAGCAACGCCGTTTTATCCCTCTCAAAGAAACGTCTTCTAGGCCAATACATAAATAATTTAGTTTATTCACGATACTTAAAGAAGTTGAGATACGTTATTGTCCACGCAC